TCCTGCCGAAAGTGCTGGGATTACAGCCAGGAGCCACGCTGCCCCACCAGAATAAGTAATGTTAGGAACTGGCCATCTCTGCAGTTGTATTAATAGAAGAAATTGCATGGTCCATCCATGAGAAATAACAAAGGCTGATAAACCCCTCAGTCTTTTCACCACGAATAAAATTCCCGAGTGAATTGCTATACTGAGAAAAAAAAAGACATTTGTTAAAAATAAAATTGACAACAAAAATTAAGACATTATAATAACGTTAAAGATGTCATCATGATGAAATAAATTTAAATGAAATAAAATTAAATGAAAACAATACATTTAGAAAGAAATAATTAGGAAAATATTATGAATAGGATTTAAAAACAAAATGGAAAAAATGAATAAATGTTAAATTTGCCAAAAACTCTAAGAAGAATTCTACATTCAGAATATAGATTTCTCAAAGTTGAAAGAGATAAAAATGAAGTATATAACGAAATCGACATAACGGTTTAAAAAGCAAGGAAACTGCAAGTAGTAAGGGACCCGAAACAAGGGAGAAACATCAGAGAAAGAGCATTTAAAAATTGACAACCAGCAATGAAGGCACCTTTTAATGTATTTTTATTTTCTAGGTGGAGACCTTTGGTAACAGAATCTCTTCAAGGAGGAGAATCCGAAAGCCTCCTGTTGCTCTCTAAGGCTGATTAGCTCCACAGATCCGTGGGCAGCACGCCCAGGGCACAGAGAACGCTGCACAACCAACGCGACGAATCCACTCCAGGCAGTCTGAGAAACCCGGGAGGGGGCGCCACCAATCCAGGGCAGCAGGGTGGCTGCATTCCAAAACGGGCCCGCTGTCACAGGCCGGGGTGTCCTCCAGTCTGTCCCAGGGCTGGGGAGGACTGCTCAAGGGAAGCGGCTGGAGTGTGAGTCTGTCGGGTTCCTCTGCCTGGTCCACCTCTTCTGCAAGTGCCTCTTGCTGCTTCTGCGTCCCGGGCCAACTGAACTCAGCGGGCTGGTCGGTACTTGGTTCCAAGATGCTCTGGACTCCGGGAAAGAGTCCGTTTTGCGGGTAGATCCAGCGTAGCCGCCAGCAAGGACTGGAAAGCAGTTCCGAATCACAGCTGTCCAGTGAGCACTCTCCCAGTACCGGATACAAAGGAAGAGGCCACGGCCCACGGTCTTCCGAACTCACAATAGGCGGAGGCTGGGGCTCTGGCGCCGCTTCGGCGGAATCCCAGGCACGCTTCACACAGCCAAGAAAATGTTGCTCCATCTCTTAAGCCTCAGACCAGGAGGAAACAGATGTTTCCGCTGATCAAGGAGCGAGGGCCTTCTGCACGCCATCAGCCTGGGTATTTATGCTCTCCGGAGCCCGTGGGCGGAGGCCAGCCAGATACTAGGAAACTCAATAGTAGCAAATGCGCGAAAATTTGTAGACAATTGAAAAAACGGTAACATCGTAGAGAGTGCATGGAACCAAAACGAACCGTAATTCCGACAGAAAAACAGCAAGAAAAGAAACCGAAATGAAACGGACATGGAGCAAACCTTGCAGAGAACTAGCGCTACAGAACGCAGGTATTAAAGAGCGCTTCAAGGGCCAAGAACCACCTGTTTCCGGGAAATGAGCATTTCGGAAAACCGTCCGCGAGGGCTCTGAGCTACTAAGGATCTCCCTAAGTAGAACCGCGCGTCGAACTTAGCAAGCGCCGGCACCTAGCGGATAGCGGGTGTACTGCCAGACAAATACCGTATCGGTTTAGACGCCGCGAACGGTGCTGCTAGAGAGAAACAGCGTGCTCCTAGAAAGGAGCGGTGCTTCCACGCCTAAACATCCGGTCTGCAGACATGAACCGACTCTGTTTAAACGTGTTGTGACAGAAAAACGTGTTGTGGCGTTTTCATGTGTTTTCATCCGTTTTATTAATCGGTTTAATGTGTTTTAACTCGTTTTAATCTGTTGTGACAGAAAAAGCGCCGAGTAACGGCACCACGTTGTTACTGGTGCCTACAGACGCTCGGAGCAATTACCGTTCTGCACGGCGAAACGGCGTTCAGGAAGTTTCTCAGGAGATACTAGCGGTACTAGGACCGAGAAAGTAACAGCACGGAGAACTTAATGACCCCGCGAAAGGGAAAGGTCAGGTTGGGCGCAGCAACTGAGAAAATGCCGGAGTGGGCGGTACTGGCAAACCTGCTGATACAAAAGCACCAGCTCCACAAAGGGAGCGGAGCCGCCAGGCAGAACCCGGGACCTCACACCAGCGAGGGTAAGACCGAGCTGGGCTCCCAGGCCCCTGAGAGAACGAAAGTCAAGGAGAACGAAGCTGAGACACTCAAAATTAGTAGAAAAAAATACGTAACATTTCAATAAAAAATGTAAAATAATAAAAGCCTGAAACGTAAGTAAAAGTCAAAACAAACACATCTGTAACATCGTTGTAAGAGCAGAAGACACAAAACTAATTTTAAAAAGAGCAAACGTTACAGCGAACCAACCCTACAACTATTGCTAAACGATGCAATGCCTATCATTAGAATATCTCGGTCAGATCTAAACCCCTGCAGGTTGCTCCTGTCATAATTTCCTACGATTAAAAAGAAGAAGAAGAAGAAGAAGAAGAAGAAGAACGGCTAAACGTGTTTAGCGACGACTAAAAAATCGTAGTAGCCGGTACATGCCAATTTGGTCCACAAGAAGAAAAAGCCGCGTTCCGCGGCACTTCCTATCGTCAAAGGGAGCTTGGTAAAACTGAGAAATCGCGTTCGCCGCCATTTTCTGGCTCCCATTGGAATTTTAAAAACACACAATTACAGCGAAGACGGGCCTCGATATTGCAAAACCAAACTCAGTGTAAGAGCTCCCAGGCACTGCTAAACTGGTCAT